CAAAAAAATAAAAATTTGCCGATCTTTTTATATAATGAATCACACTATATAGTGAAGTTTTTTGCCAAAACAAACTCGAGCGCCAACTGTATACGCAATCATTTTTCGTAACACTTGAAATTTCCTTTTTTAAACAAATTATATAAAAAATGACCGAAAACCTCCTTTTTTAAAGATTTTTTGTTAAAATTGACAATGTTATCATCTTCTTTATTGTTATTAAAAAATCCTTTAAACAACAATTCCCTAAAGCCGCCTATTTCTGTTCTATATATTGCAGTGCCAGATATACTAATGATAGTTGCAGCAACCGTTTTAATGAAACAATTAGAAATGAATATTGACGACAATTTTTTTTAAATATTGGTGTGGTATATATTATAGTATGGATTTTTTTAAATAATTGAATGTTTATGATGAATTTTAATGATAATTGAATATTTTGTTGTAAATAAATATAACGAAGCCATATTTTTATAATATTCTCCTTACTAATAAATTTATGTCAGTTAATAATCTTTATAAATCCTTATTTGATAGCGAATTGGAACTTAAAAAGGCTCATTAATTGTTGGTAATGTAAAATTTGAAAAAAATAATTTGCCAAAAAAGATTTATCAAAATAATTTACTAAAAAAAAATATTCATTCAAAAATGAATACATTTTTATCCTTATAAATACAACATTGGTATCAAAAGAATTTATTCAGGGAATGATCATTATCAATAATCAATTTTATTTCTTATTTTTTTATCAAAAAACAGGAGAATTTATATAATTTTAACTTTTCATTAGCATAAATGAAATTTCATCTCATAAAATAAGTTTGTTATTAAATAGACATTAAAATTTATCAATTTATCAATAATTATTTTTACACTAAATCAATATAATTTTAATGGCCACTTGAAATTAAACTTTTAATTATTTACAAATTAATAATAACATGGCAAAGAAAGAAATATTTTTTGCTAAATTAACAAATTTAGTGCGGGATGAATTTTCCCATGGTAATTGGATTATAGTATTTGGAAGACAAAAGGAATTGTCTTTAGTGGAATTATCTAAAAAAGTTAATATTTGGTCATTGAGACAATGGTTGTTAATTAGCAACATATATTTTAGGATAATCAAAAGACAATTATTATTTATTTTGAAAATATAAGGAGCAATTTTTTCACCTTGTTCCTTTTTTAAAATAATTCTAATGGTGCTATAATTCTTGGGTTCCATGGTAGACCTAATGTAAATTAACTTCATATTAACTATTTTTATATTAATATAGAGGTAATTCTATATACCACTTAATATTAAGAGGATAACAAATGGAAAATTTTAATAATCACATTACTAAATTTTGATCCCTGAAATCTTTGATAATACTAATGTTCGGTTTTGTTGCAGTATGTCCCATGTTATTTTTTATTGTAAAAATTGATCGTCACTAAAAAAAACCATTCTTTTGATTACAATGTAAAACAGTGTGACCACATTCTACCCTTAATTGAGAGGAATTTCCAGCAAAAGATGGTTACTAAAATAATCAACATCTTCATATTACTGTGAGAACAATTTTATTGGAACTTATTATTCCCAACATGTGAAAGAGATAGGCTACTGACTTTTGCAGAGATGTTAATTATTTGGTAATTCAAGGATGCATTCTAAGGCTTTTCCATTAAATACTCCTATTTGCATGATCCAATTATACGAACTCATTGGAATTGGATCCAAATTGACAAAAGCTGCAATGTTGAACATTTTATGTCTTAGCGAAAATTGACTTGATATAATTGATGATTCCATTTTTGATGGAATCTTTTTGCGAGGTTAGAAAGAACCAAGATTCAAAATGTTTAATTAAAACTACTCAAGTTGGCAGAGAAGCAAAGAATAATTATAAAGCTTTGGATTTTTTGAGAGATGATAAAAACGGGCTTGAATTAGATTGCTGTCAGAATGTGTAGATTTTTTATTTAAACTGGTACATGAAATAAATTATAGCCTTTATATAATAAGATTTATATATTTTTTTGAGAGCGCAAAATAGTAAAATAAATAAAAAATTTAAACATACCCGGATCATGTGTTTGTGCAACTTAACATAAAAATAAACTTTTTTTCATATTTATACATGACATTAAAAAAAATAAACTTTATTCTTTATAATTTCACCTTTAACAACAAAAATGTCACAAAATTTACACTCATTTGATTTTACTGATAAGTTGAATCTGGAAGAAGGACTTACTTTTGTTTTGTGGGAACAGGCAAAATTATTTTTTGATAATTTTGCATTACAAGAGGGTTTTAGTTATAGGATTAGATGAAGCGAATCTGAAGATGGTATTGTAACATGGTTAACATATGAATGTACAAAATCAGGCAAACATAATCCACAAATTATAACAGATCCTACAAAACATCATAATGTCCATTCTCAAAAAACAGAATGTCCATGGCATATTAATCTTTCTTTTCCAAAGTCAAGTAATCTAATAAAAATTGATTCCTTTGTAAATGCACACAATCATTCTTTGAACACAATGATAGGTGAAATGGTACCCCAATTTCAGAAACTTACTTCTTCCATGTTAAAAGATATCAAAAAATATGTAGTTAAAGGAAGGATGGATTCGGCTTCAATATATCCATTGCTAATTAACGATTATCCACAAAACACCATCAATAAACGCGACCTTTAAATGCTGTCTATAATATTCGTCAACAAAATAATCCTGGTGATTTTGATGCATCGCAAATGATTAAAAATTTGTTTGAAAAATATGCGAAGGTGGTGAAAATTCTAACATAAAAGTCGTAAATGTGGAAAATGTAGACAATTTGGTCACTATGCAAACACATGTATGGATTGAATAACTTTTATTTATTAATGTATTACTTTCAACTGTAATTTGTAGACATGCTATGAATTTAATATTA